TCGATTAGCAAGGCCATTTCCCCGCGACTCGCACCTTGTCCAATAAGGCCGAAGGGCTGATTACGACAGCTCTCCATCTTTCGGGACAGCTGCTGCTGGGACGTGTGTTCATCTAGGCAGCTGGTGCTGTCTACCGGCAGTCTTAAGGGCTGTTGTAGAGTCCCGTTTTTCCGGCTGCGGTGTACTTATGCTCGGGTCAGAGTTTTAGATCAAACAGTGGGGTGGATAATTGACCACGGCAGAGCGGCATTTGAGTTCAACTCAGTTCTGAAACCAAGTTCAACCTGTTGATGCCTCGACCATTTGCATTTCATGCCGTTATATAGACTTCAGAGTTTACTCATTTTTCTGTTTCATATATAAGTCAACTGCCGAGGCAAACATAATAAAATGAGTAATTTAGACAAACAAGAATGATTTACTGAGATACGGGGTCAAACCGCAAAACTTCGGACTGGTGCCAAGTGCTGTTTCAATGTGCTACTGAGGCCAGCTCTACTGAGAGACTCGAGTCCAGTTGATCTGTGATTCGATTCCCTCTCTCTCATGATCGCTTTTCTGGATACCTTCGCTATATAGAGAAGATTACAGAGAAGATTAGCATGGCCCCTGCGCAAGGCTGACACGCAAAATTATGGAGCGTTCCATATTTTTTGGGTTTTTGGCTAATGCTTGTGTTGTTAGTACGGTAAATCAATACACAATTCCATACTACTGGCTGCCTGTTGGCGGTTTGCGAATATAAAGCGGTTATTCCACAGTAGCTGATGGATTTCAACTCAAATATTCATATCAAACTTCGGACCGTGCCTGAAAAGGTCTGTTTCGAAAGAGTTATTCCAAGTTCGCGCATTGGTTTCCTCAGAAATTAAACAAGACACCTTTCCTATTCCTTAACGTCTACCTCGCAGCTTAGATGGCTAGAGCATTGGTTGTGCTCAAACTTTCCCGCTGCTATCGTAGGTTCGAATCCCACCGAGGCGCCGAGTTTTTCACAGTTGGGTCAATGTGAATTATTCAAAATCAGCCAAAACACCTATTAGTTACGCAAGCCTGGTAGTCACCTGATGGATTATAAATGAATTACTTAGGAAATTCTACTTGGACAGTCGGCTTACTATATCAGATTTGGAGGATTCCAGACGTTGCCATTAAACTCATGACTCCCGGTGGGGTCTCGTGGCTCAGGTGGTTAGGGCGTTGGATGTACTAAAGCCTTCCCTTGTTATCGTGGGTTCGAATCCCACTTAGGCGCCGAGTTTTTCACAGTTTGGTCAAAATAAAACTAGAATATGTCAAGTGTCTGACTGACACGGTGTCTTGAAACGGGGATTACCAGAAGGAGGAGGAGGACGAGGAGTATGTGATGGGTTGATTAGGACCCACTACAGGCATAATCGCGATTTTCCATGAACTTCTCATAAAACTTAACTTTTCCGAGTGCGTTGAGAATTCTTGCTAATCATACGGTTCTGTCGGCCTTTCATTTAAAACGCCCGCAGATACTTGTGGTCAGGGTCGGGATTTCTTCTAGAGGCGATATTTTGGTCTTGGTATCCCTCAATGGCTTAATTTTCATCCTGCACTAAAGGGTCTCGTGATGTACGAAACACGGTGCAGTCAGCTGCCTAGACTCCAACTTTCGATCAACTTTTCCGCACATTGCATAAGCACGTGCACAAAGCTGCGATCGATGGCGCATGCCTTTATAAGGTCAGAGCGCTCCCAGCGTGAATAATAATCCACGCAATCGTGCAAGTTTTCAGTCTAGTTATTCGACTGTCCGCCTGAGTTAAAACACATCGCGAGTTTGTCCTTCCTAGAAAATATTCTGCTGGGGATGCTTATACGTCCCCTCCCAGACAAAACATGGGAATAACAACCGACCGTAACACAGACGGTGTTGCGCTAATTTTCGGGAAAATTTGGGTTATGGTTAAGAGAAACGGTAGGGCGAAAGGTCCACTCAACTGTCGATAGACTGTGGATCGTGTCATACGAGAATGGTAGTGATGGGGGTGTTAGGGGTGGAGCAACACGCTAAAGAGCAAGTTAGCGAAGTGCAAGAAAACGCAGAAATTGTTTAGATTCCTGTCGCAAGTTTTATCCGTAGGATTTTGTGTGGCAGCGGTAATGAGCGCATTAATTTAAAAAATACACAAAGAGCAAATTTTCAAAAAGCAGTGGGGCCTTGAGAAATCAGGTGAGGTCATGGAAAGTAATTGCTGTTTGCGGTGTAATATCTGCAATGGCCTGTAAATGTGTGCTAAGATAAAACCCCCTATGACACGATCCTTATTCTACCGAAAGTTAAGTGGGGTCCTCCACGCTACCGTTGCCGGGTTGGTTAAGATCAGGGCTCGGTCTAAGGTTTGGTTTAGGGTCGGTTTTGCGTCAAGGACACGGAAATAACTTGTAGTGACATTTAAGTCCGTTTTGTTTTAAGCAGTTACAAAAGGCTTTTTAAAGAACTTGACACAACTTTGAATGAGGCAAAGGACAAGCACGCGCACTTTTACCGGCTGACAACTTTGTTCTTATTTACTAGTTTGCAACTGTTTGGATACCGCTATCTTCGTTTCCTGGATAGCCTACTCTCTGTGACCACTTAATGGGCTTATCATTTACAAACTAACCACCCCGGAATTTAGCAAAAGTTCGCCCGTATTAGGAGAGGGTGGAGCATTCCAATTTCCTGTGTCCTCCCAGGGCTGTCACAAACGTGATCCTCACTAAACAGATGTGGTAGCTTTATACGGTACTACTGATAGAGCACTTAGTGTAATCCTAATGGTGTATTGTTATGCGGACAAGTTCCAAAGTTAAATGGATTCAGGATTTAATTGAGGATGCACAGTTTACACATTTACGCGTTAACGTAGAGTAACGTCACTGGTAGTTGGTTCCACCGTTCTCGTTGGCATTATGAACAGCACTCAAAAATGACCTTGAAATGGTGTCAAAGCTTGCCGCAATCGCGGGATGCACTGGAGTCTGGATATTTCGGTCTAACCGAGTCTTGAATTGGCAGGCAAGTAATCTCTGCGACACGACGCTGGCAGACAAAACTCACGCGCAATATGCCCTCTCTCTCTCTCTCTCGTTTTACCAGCTGAAAACGGAATTTATCCACTCCACCTGCGTGATTCCATGACGCAACCCACCAGTCTCAGCTCATTTTTAGCGTCCTCATCCCCGCTCAGAAGTGCGTTCTGAAGGCCGTGACTCATGCAGTTCCGGCAAAATTTATGGCGAAATTCAGCTGCGTACTAATTTTAACAACCTTGGAAAGCGCTTATTCTCTCCCTGGATTTCCACCGTCTGGAAAGCTGTCCCAGGACCCCACATTTGAAGCAGTCTCAGTTTTCCACCGTTGCAGTTTGTCATCGACCTACACCATCCTCTCATTTAACGGTTTTGCAGGTTGGATTCGGAGTACCTGGTCACATTACCTATGTCGTAGGATCGAAAACATTTCACGCCTGTCAGCGAGGCTTAAATGAACTACAATTTTACTATTATAGAAGAGGCATTCACCGGTCAGGTTAGCGGATATGCTTGTCCTGCTACGCAGTGGGACTCAAGCTACAGCCTTCACAGGGTGTCGCGTAGCGTCCAGCAGTGATACAGAGAGCGGCACTGACACGAAGACATCAGAGGCTGTGTTGGCTATTTACTGCTTACTGGACATTGTTAGGCAGGCATTTACAAGCCAAAATCCCTGAATGATTAAACCTGACTGACGATGGCTAATAAGATAGAAATGGCCAGCCCAGTCTCCCTGTAGTCCGGCTCCTCCGTTCCTCCTCATTTCATTTAACTGTTATCGAAGAGCAGAAACTCCCTGGACTGAACGATAGGGAAGTGCTGAGGAGGTTGAGACCACTTTTGGGTTGCTGCCTAAGTTCAGCGTCTTGGTGTCTTTCTGTGAACTGCTTTGGGTACAGTCACTTCCGTGTCCGATAATCATCATTCCCACGCACTTCCGGTCGACACTAAACCTCGCATTCGTCAGGTCATTTGAGTATCTGGCCTCAGCGGGCAGTTTAAGCTGTCAGCCTGCAGATACAGGTAACAGAAGCCCTGACTTCTTTCAGTCCCACATGCCCAGACCTCTCCCTCTGCGTACCAGATGTCTTCTTTTCACCCCTCAGACGTGCCGCAAGCTAGCTCGTTTTGCGTGTCCGCTGAACACTTCACCTCCTCACCTCTCCCTCTCTCACACACACAGAAACGCTTCTGTTGTGAGCTTATACGCACCTCGCCTAGCAGGAGGCGCTTCCTTCCTTCTCCATCTGGCGTCTCTCGCGGTCAGTTCAGGGCTCACGCCATCCGCCACTAAATCGGCCAGACTCATCGCGCGAGGGCGGCACGTGTGTGGGTGTGTGTGTGTGTGCGTTTGAGTTGACAGACAGCTTCCCACCTCGTTCCTAGCGCCAACACCGGCGGTACGAAATCTTCTGCTTTATCACCCAAAATCGCGGAGCGCGACAATCTGTCCCACCCTGGCAGCCCCCACCCCCCAGTGTTGTTCGATAATCACCGCGCCGGAGATGCCGGTTTACCTGAAGTTGAGCATCTGGCGGAAACGGTGGTGGAGGTGTACGCAGCATATTTCCCGCCCCTCCCCCTCTCCTCCCCCAGGGTACTGCATCCTCAGTGTACCAGCCATATGTCCACCCATTTCCACGGGAGTTTACACGTGCGTGCGTGCGTGCGTCTGTGTGTGTGTGTTTGTGCATGGGTCCCGATGTTTGTGCTGACCAAGTTCGCCTGGACTCCGCCCTCGACCCCGGTATAAAGGCCTGCGACTTTTCTTACAGGCTGTCGCTTCAGGCAAAAAGTAACAGGTGTTATTCGATAGGCAAGCTGGAGTAGTTGTCGACTCTGTTTGCTGAAAAGAGGGACGGTTACAGTTAGAGAACGCCTTCGGGAGTCAAAACGCTCACTAATATATGTTTTCACAGGTTCTTGGTAGACAACAAAAAATGGTTTTTGTTGCTGACTTTAGCGCCGCCACTGCCACTGCTACTGTGGCCTAAACTGAGCGGCAGGTTGTCAGATTTTCGTTCATTCGTATGCTATTCTTCTGAGCATCGGATTTTAAAAGACGTTACTGTCAGAGGCCAAATTATCAGGGGCGCCCATGCATTTCTGTGCTATTCATTGGAAAAATCTAATATCTGATTGAGTATATTGGCATTCAAACGGCACCCCCCCTGTACTGATAGGAATTGCTTTTATTTATAACTGAAACACTGTCAACGACACATTGAATTCCTCCTAACGCTAAGTAAATAATTTTTATCAAAGCAAAGTTTTGCTATCAGTAAAATGATAATGCGCCCAAAATTGTGCTTTAGCTGCATGGAGGAGCAAACACTCAAGCTGTTGGATGCTCGTGAACTTCAAGATCCACCGCCATACCACAGGTTGATTCCAGCAGTGGCGTGCGCGTGAAGTTGTTTATAAGGAAACAGACTTGTGCTGCGCACCCCTCGCTCTCTCCGATCAAACTCTGACGGCGAGACATTGTAAACACGACTAGTGATGAGTGTGAGCGCAGCGACGGACGAAACCGCAAGCCCCGGCTACGCGGGCCACTCACGATCTGCTCTACGTGTGCCAAGCCGTTTCTGGGGTCTCACATCTCACATAACTGAGGGCGTCATAAAGGTCGCTGCAAGGGGGAGGGATTGAAGCCTGGTCCCCCGTCCTGGAGAGGACCAAGCTACACCCTGGTTTGGTAAATTTTAAAGTCACGACGTTAAACACGTCGTGGTAGATTCGAGCACGCCAGATTTATTTAACCGAAGAGTATGCTAATGTGCTCTAAGGATGGCCCTCCCAGCATCGACTTCGTCGCTTTTTTCCTTGTCAGATGCCAGTAACTCGTTCGAGTCAATCTGACTGGAATTGGGACCGCACTTGAACTAACCGTTAATCGCTTGCCAGGCACGGACTCGAAATTCGAATGAGTGGGAGTGCCAAAACGGCCACGAATAAAAAATCGTCTTCAGTAATTGCTCGGCAGGTCCTCGCGTCCAGTCTATGTATTTGTAAACTATCAGCGCTTACAAGAAAACACTTTTTAGAGGTCAGCAGCCGAGCAACTGTTATTGAGGGCCCATTGAAATGCCGCCCTAAAATGTCAGGTAACAGAAAAAGGGAGTGCTGTAATTTGAACAATACGGAAATTCACGTTTTTTCTCCGAGAGATAACTTAATGTATGCTTCTCAATATAATTTTAGAAATAATTGGAGTAAACAACGCCCTCGAGGAATTCTCATGGTTTCCTTGAATCTGGGTTACTATCTCAGGTAGCACTGGCCGCTGGGGAGGCCGTCCTGTGTGGCCAACGTATCGAGCTGCGCTTTAGGTGCACAGGACCAAAAAGGGAGTCAGTCTGGTTCACGGCAAGCGCTTCTCGGGCAGCTTAGAGTCCGCGCCAGCCCATACCTACTGTCGTACATGTGCTTGGCACGCTTTAGACGTAGGCCTTCACGTCGTGTCGACCACTACAACCAATCCCTTCGCACGTTGTTAGGCAAACTCGAACAGTCGGCTAAGAAATGGAATAGGGAAGAGAAGGAGAGAGAGAAAGTGAGATCAACACTGGGAACTCCACCCCGGGGACATGGGCGCATTCCTTACTACAATAAATCTGACGCTTGAACCAATCCAGAGTTCTGACTTTGAAGGTGGCCAACCGATGGGTCAGACTGCGGTAGCGCCCTTTTACATGCGACCATTATGACACTCTCACGCCTGTGAGATCAGAACCGCTCTGGGCAGATGCCTGGCGCATTTAATGAGAACCGCCTCGTTCGTGGCAGGCGTAGACGGTCGATTTAGCCTTGGCAACTGGTCCGCAGGTATGCCTCTCTATAGGTATATTTACGTGCAAGTTGCCGGTGCTGCGTGAACTCCATCGGAGCTCGCGATGGGCGTCAGCGTTCGCAACAGACTTTAACTCTTGGATGTGTTCAATTCTTCACCCATATTGACTCCAAACATACCACCTTTCATTCCCCGTAGACAAATGAATCCGTCTCCTCCTCCGCCTCTTCCTTCTCCGAGCGAGTGCGCGAAACATTCTCCTGCGACCAGTGTCAGAAGATTTTTTCAAAGCACAGTTCTCTCGCCCGCCATAAATACGAACACACTGGTAGGTTTACATCTGTGTGCACCTTTGTGGTAAATTTGCAAATTAAAGTTTACTGTGAAGCAGGAAAACCCACTAACATGTGTGGGGAGAAGTCGCATCGGTTTGGTTGGAACCAGGTAGGCGTATGATTGGCCCGGGTCGCTGTGATGTCCCGGTGTGATTACACACAATGGTACCCGGACCCATTTACCAGCGACCCCGCTCAGACCGTCTATGACAGCCGTGGCATCGCATGCTCTCAGGCGAGACTGAGAAGTGAGCAATAACTCCTCCTGGGAGCCCGTTTTCTAGCTGGCGGTCTCACATTCTTTTTCCTAGGCTGACTGCCCCTGTACCCAGAACGAGTAATGAACTGACCTTCACGACAGCTCTGCCTTTCCGACTCACCACAAAGAAGTACGGATTACAAGCTTTTGCCAGCGCTTTGTCATTTACCAAATTATCATATTTTTGGTTTGGAGAGTTTCCAGTGTTACACATAACCTACTCCAAGAAGTTTATGGAAAAAACTCGTATATCAGCCAAAATCAGATACATTTACTCAACCATCATCATGTCTTCATGGTGCAAAGATGCATCTGGGAAAAGAGTTTCGGCTTTCGGGCTTAGCAGAATCTCAGTGTCGTAGTTGCTTTTATCCAAACAAGCAGAATCGAGAGCGTGACATGTAAAATAGGCACGTTGTTCAGCTTAGGTTAGGTGAGGTTTAGTCACGCCGGAAACGCCGGTATACCAGTTCAGGTATTATCATGATGTTGACTATGAGGTTGGATATGAGTATAAAACTGCTGGGGATTTGATTGTCTTCTCGGAGATAGTGCATTCATTTAACTGACTCAACTCTCCTCAGTTATCGGAGCATTCACACATTTCTTTCCGTAGAACACTCATACTCAGGTATTCTCACGGGAGTCAGATTACCTTACCCGGCGGTAGGAGCATGCGATAGATAAATAACTAACGCCAAGAGTGGGCTCGGATGAGAAACTCGTTCCGCTGACTCGTTTTTCATTGACGGCGCACATACACACTCGGTAATCGAGTCAAGCAGGACCTGTGCGCTTCATAAACTCTCTTTGCTACTTTGCAGGTCTTCGACCATTCGTCTGCCGTACCTGTTCCAAGGCCTTCAAGCACAAACACCACTTAACGGAGCATCGTCGCCTTCACACCGGTGAGAAACCCTTTGAATGTCATAGATGCGGTAAACGCTTCAGCCACTCAGGGTCCTACTCGCAACACATGAACATGCGCTACAAATACTGTCGACCGTAGCGAAAGGCGCAAGGAAGGTTCTCTCACTGTGTCTCCTCACCCCCAAAGATTCGGCAGGGAACAACCCGTCTACCCCCATCCAGTCTTTCGAACGTCCGCACATGTATCCGCGGCTACCATTTCCTTATATATATATCCTGTCGTTTCTCATGCACGGGTTTTGCTTCTTTACGCCTTGATGGAATTCCTGGACTCCGCCTTCACCCTGTTATGTTCTGTTGCCACAGTTCCCTCCCCACCCCCCCCTCCTTCCGTACTCTGGCAATGCTTGTTTGTGCGAAAACACTTATTTGAACACGCCACAACATACCCCCTGTCTACTTCAATAAGATCAAAGATACGCTCCGAACCTCGATTTTCCTACCAATGGAGGATTAACTCCTGACCAAACTTCAATTGACTGCCAAGGTAGTACATGAGCGTGGGTCTTGTTCGCGGCGCCCTCTAAAGCCTTTGATAATGAAGATTAATACGGTTAACAAAAGATTGTTTACGCGGATAGAAAAACACAAGTAAGCCTGCTATGGCCTCCAGAACAAACAAAACAGTTCCAACATTTACAGTTACAATAAACAGATCCCCTTCATGGGACCTGCCTATCTGCCAAATTGGATGTTTTTGAAGTGTGAGGATAGAGTAATGCCAACAGTTCGGACGCCCCACTTGAATTTTGCAAGATCAGCGTTTAAGAAGGCACTTTGTAAGCAGTTTCTCTGTTAAAGGAACTTAATGCTGATGTGCGTCCTCTCAAAGATATTTACTGAGTGAGATATGTCTGCCGCCCTCCCCAGCCTTGAAAGTCTCCGGATATCTTACTGGGTCAGGGTTTATGTAAGGCGCAGGGCTAGAGACGGATACCACGTCTAGGCTTATAGTTAGGGCTAGGTACCAAGTTCTGAGTAAGGCTAGCTGAGGGTTTAGTGGTGGACTTTGCGCCGGTGTGTGCTTTCAAGCCGTGTCTTGGTGTATTTATCTGTCCCCAAGAGTGGATAATTGAGTGGGCAGCTTCTTGGGCGATGAAGATAGGTGCGTGGTGACGTTACTCTACTCTCCCGAGGCTTTGACTGATCACCACAGTTTCATCAACCACTTTATTTGTTTCGGAAGCAACACACTTTACCTTCATCGCAAGGTCTCCTGCTGAAAAAAAACTTCCCTTATTCCCGATGTATCCGACTTCAACCATTCAGCTGACATCAGCTTGAACCTATAGTTTAATTATTGTTCTCAACCATGTCCACCGTGTGCCCCATAACAGTGAGAAGCACGGAAGGTGGCCTGTGCGTGATTTAGTTTGTAGTGGATGTACACTTACACAGCATCTACCGCACTCTCTCCTCCCCCACCTGGACCCGGCGTCAAGACATAGCCAGGAAGATCGGAGGCGGGGGAGGACTCAGGTAAATGGCGCGGCTGGGCCCGTGCCCTGGCGTTCCACTGCACACTCCCAGGTCCACACAGCAAACGACCAGGTTTTTGATCAACAACAAAAGGGTGGCCGGCGCGGCCGAAGGCGCACATAGGCGTGCCGCCACACCTGGCTCGGATCCCATGGAGTGGGAGTGCTATAAAGGCTACATTAGGAAGGAGCCATTGCAGCCAGCGGGCCACTCCACACAAACACATAACGCTGGGCCGACTTCGAGGTCCAAGTGCGTCCATACGGTCACAGTCGCCCACACTTCAGCCCTCAGCTAATTCAACAAGAACTTTTCCAACACTCCGCCACTTGAGTAAAGTAACAGGCATCCCTAGACATGGTTGGTCTCGCCCTAGTTCTAAATGCATCTATAAAACCATCTGACAACAGACTTATCTGGCCGAGCACTGTCCAAGAAAAACACCGATGACGGGACCTGTAATGCGGTAAAAGGTGATGAGAGTGGTGAAAGGAACGATCAATATTTTCGATCGAAACCGGTTGACTCGACCCAAGCCGGCTGACTAAATGGTTCCATCTGTCTGTCCAGGATGCTAAACAAGTTAGAGAAAAAAGAGTATTGTTGGAGTGCGTTTAGGAAGCTGGAAAGAAGCGTGGGAGGAAAGATGTCAGAGAAAAGTAGTAGTTCGAAAGTCATTTCCTATAAGCGCGTTGGATAAAAGATGAAGAGTAGACTCCTGAAGGTAGCAATTATTTACAGAATGTAAATGTCTCCTGAAGCATTTGACCACTAAAGAATGCCATCCATGGGAAGGGAATAGCTCGGACAAAAAAACAGAAAACGCCAAACTATGCAGACATCTTTTTCGGTAAGTTGTTGAATTAATTGGATGGCCTGGCTTTTCCTGGAGCTTCCTATTTTCTCAGTCTGTTTCTGGCCACCAGACACCCTTTTGGTTATTAAAGGAGGAGGTGAGATGTAAGGGTATTATTTGAAGTGGAGACCGTCGTGTACTTTGGTCTTAGGTCAACTTTGTTTACGTTGTTGCATTAGGTAACAGTGTAATTCATTAATTTCAGTTTGAAAAACCGCGTAATATGTCAAGCCGACCTCTTCAACATTAGACAAATACAACTTTGGAAATAAAAGACTGATCTATTCAAAGTAAGTGGCGCAGTAACTGCGGGATAAGTAGAATGTCATACAAACTTTGTCTTTTCACTTCCTTTTGCTATATCTGAATGCCAAATGAGTTGGCATTTTCGATAATCCAAGACTGAATATCGTTTACTGGAGAGATCGTGTACTAACCCGCTATTCGGTAGTACAGATTAATGTCAACGAGACAACCATATCAAAACTCATCCGGTCTCTGAAAACTGAATTTCCTGGTGCAGATTACCTAAAACTATCCACTCATTCTTGACTAATAAGTCTGTGATTTGAAAACTATGAGACACTGATTTTCGAAAATTTGGTCGCCTCTGAATGTGTGTGCTCGGTTTGATTCATGGGGATTGAACGCGGAGCCTCCGTACATTAGAGCAAGGCGGCTTACCGCCTACCGCTAACAGTTCGGCCTCGTTTGGGTGAAAATGTTCGTACAACTTGGAGAGCAGGTGCAGCGAAGTGCTCACATGTGCTCTTTCGTCTTGCCCTTAGCCAATGAGACGCCTGTTGTAGACGAAATAACGCTATTTAATTCTTACCATCGACCTCACTGATAGGCTAAGTTTCCGTCCTTGGTATCACACCTCTCTTACATTTGCGTCGCATTCACAGTGGATCGGCGAGCTTGTCTTCCTGCATTGTGCTAGAGCAAAGTCACCTTACCGAACATGAACACAGCGGTTTGGATGTCTTGATGGTCTCCTTGAAATGATATGCATACTTGGCAGTGGGAGCATTGAAGGTCGGCTGGAGCAGACACTCCTAACTTCTTTGTCATTGCGAGCTGTGCCATACTCCAAATCCAGACCGGACGGACGGGCAAATCAGACAAGCTGATAGAAGCGAACAGGCGAGTCCCAGGTAGCAGTTCAGAAGATGAAGGTGCGATCACTGGGACAATCGCATCTTCATCTTCTAAATCAGACAAGATCAATTTCGTCCTCGAGCTTCTGAATCAAACTACGCACCGACGGGGATGACGGTTCGACCGTCGATTTCGACGATGTCCACTGGGTGCTCCAGAGCGGGGTGATAGTAGGGACGGTGGTTTGCGTGTGACTCCTCTTGTAGGGATAGTAAACTTACGCATAATCTACCGCACTCTCTCCTTCCCCCCCCCCCCCCACATGGATCCGGTGTCACGATAGAGCCAAGACAACCGGAGGCGGGAGAGGGGGCAGGCGATTGGCATGGCGAAAACCCGTATCCAGGTGTACCACCACCACCACCACCACCACCACCACCACCACCACCACCACCACCACCACCACCACCACCACCACCACAACCACCAACACCACCATCACCACCACCACCACCACCACATCCTCTGGTCCACAGCGAACACTGGTCAGGATTTTACAGCCCAACAAAAAGATAAAGGCTCCAGGGACCCCAACTGGCGCGGCTTGAGCCGGTAACCAGGCCTGCCATCACCTCCCGGTGGTGGCATTTGTCATGAGCGCGCAGTCCCACAACGCCGGCCGGACTCCGATCTCGCTCCCTGTGTTGGTTCAGCCCATCTCTCGCATGGCCCGTTTTCGGGGAACATGGTGGACGGGATACTGTACAGTTGTTAGCCCAAATTCTCTACCAGAGACCGACTCGAGTTTCAAGTAGCATGTCCACCTGCTCGAGGTAAGGATGAGTCTGGCTGGTGATGGAACATAAGCCGGAAACGGTCACCCTGGCTTCCGCCGTGTTTGTTGGCGAGACTTAACGTCACTTGCTTTATAGTCGCTGTTTGATCGTCTGCGAGGGCTTTAACCGAATGCTCTTAAGGGGAAAAAGGCAGAGGACATGTTCGTCTCGCCATCCGTTCAGTAAATCGTCACTTACTTAGGTGAGCCGACTTTAATCCCCTATTTTTGAGAGGTGTTCGCCTTTTGGTATTCACTTCACCGGACCCCAAATTTTAAGTCGAGGTGTGAAGAACAGAGGCAAATTGCTATGAGAAGGGCAGAAAGAATTTGAAGAATGAGTGTTCCTTCTGTACCCGCCGAATTTCTTAGCTTGCAAAACCGGGTACAGTAGGTGAATAAAAGAATAAAAGAATGAATAAAAGAATGAATAAAAGTATAAATGTTTTGTGCATTTTTTTCATAAAATGCAATTGAGTTTTTAAGGCAATCGAAAATTAATAAGAAAATGCATGCTACATAAGTAGTCATCTGTCTGTAGAGTATAGTTTTTGCATTCTGCTGAAAAGAAGTTCATACGAAAGCCGGTATCCTGAGGTAACTGAATTATCATAGAATTATGCTGCACGATGATTAGTTTTACAACCTTATTTTATTCATCTTTTCGAAACCAAAACGCATTTCGGAATTCCAGAGGGCATTTCATGAGTTAGCCCACCTACTGTATGTTCTACTTTGGGACTCGATTGAGAGTCCGCACAGACATTCGCGCAGCGACTAGTAGCGCATGCAGTGGGTGATTGACGACGAAGACAGGAGCCTGCTCCGTAACCTGACCATTCAACGCACTTCCAACGGGGTTAACATTTCCGATCAAAATCGACACGGTGACCGAATAAGACTGACTGACGACGGCTAATAAGCCAGGTATGGCCATCCCACTCTCCCTCGTCATTGTCGGCAATGCCCTTCAGCCTTGATTCTTCATTAACTGTTTCTTTACTTAAAGTACTTGTACTTGATACGGCTGCGATCATGCCTGATCTAGCTGGCCTCGATGATGTCACGAACTGTATCTCTCCACGCCTGACGATCCGCGGCAGCAAATCTGGACAGCTCAACCCATTCCCTTCGCCAACGACGGAGACCGAATACCGAAGGTCCAAGAACCACCACCATATCTTGACGAACTGTGCCAAGCCAGGTTTTGACCTGACCCCCTCATCGACGCCTCCAATTGGGCAACGGTGCCGGATTGAGGGCAGTAACACTGAGCTCCTGAGGTGGACGACGAAGAACATGCCCGAACCGCCTCAGTCGTCTTTCTTGGATGGCTTGGGTTATCCTTACGATGTTGTCGCAGCGAGCGCGGACTGTCTCATTTGAGACGAAGTCGGTGAACTTCACTCGAAGGATGGTCCTTAAGATGCAATGGTTAAATTCCTCCATTTGTTGTTCGTCCTCCACGCGCAAAGCCCAGCATTCACAACCGTAGAGAGGGACAAACCGGGAAGATGCACGGTACACGCGAATCTTATTGGCGATGGAGACGTCACGTCGGATCCATAGGCATTTCCGAAGGCTCGAGAAAACCCAGCGGGTAGCATCGATTCGGGAGACAACGTCGTTCTTACTCTGTCCATTAGGCAGCAGCCTCGCCCCGAGGTATTGAAAACTGTGTACTTCTTCAAGTCGACAACCACCAATACCGAGAGGTGCCTTTTCCTGGTCAGGGATGCAGCTTGAAAACGCTTTAGTCTTCCCAGCGTTTATGGATAAACCGACCAATTTAACGACGTCATTCACCCGTGACACCATAGACTGCAGATTAACAAGTTTTGGTTATCTGCAGTTAACTTAAAGTGAGATGTCATAATCGACAACAGCGCTCCCAAGCATGTTGTATATTTGAAAATGTTTTTCTTTAACGGATCGCACGTGAAATTCGCCATTCCTAAATGTTTTCCCACAGATAGACTGATAACCCCTTCATACGGAGACAGTTTCCTGACAGATATTGATAACTTCTATTCAAGAGGCGATAAAAGTTTGCAGGTTTATTTAGGTAGGTGGGCTTTTATGCTCACTCGATCTAGAGTTTCAACTTTGCTTTGCAGAACAGGAGATCACTTTGCCCTCAGTTGCAATGGGTGGTAGTAGGTGCAGAAACCGAAAACACGAATGAACCGCAAGCACATGGGGAGAGGGACTACATCAGCCAGCGCCTTCGGAAATGGCAGTACCACACTTCCAGCGTTATCTAACCAGGTCGTTGATTGGATCCTGACTTCGCAAAAACCGGATAATATGCCTTGGTTTGTATCTGTCTGATTAGAGCAGTGCAAAGGGCTGGGTCTACAACGTAGGTGACACTCCTAAGGAGACCCAGTTGACCACTTCTGGTGCATTTACCGTCATAAGTTAGGCCAGGGGAAGATCCCGATCTTGAATGACCGATTCGATCCTCCTCGTTTTCGTCAATAGCGCTTTTCAATAGTCAGCTGGTCGTCATTATATGACTGATTGCGAGGGCTCCGGATTCAACTCCCTAGGCCTAGACAAATCGTCTATATTTGATATCAAAAATAGAATGAGCGGACGGAAAAATTGCTACGTGCTTTTAGGTACTTTCAATTGCAATAGGTGGAGGGCAGACTCCTAAATCAATATGCAGGACTGTTAACGTAAAAATAAATGTCGACTCAATAAGCTGGGCTCAAAGCCCAAGGCTATCGGCCTGGGATCGAATTATAGGTGATTTTTTTCGTGGGTATACACTAGGTGACTTGACTGATGAAAGGTGTGGAAGTTTACAAATGATTGCTAATCACTCGCAGATCAGCAGAAATCGATGGGCCCTCTATCTGCATTAATGAAGAACAACTTTAAGGGAATTAAAAACATAAAAGAAATATTAAAGGCAATAGTACGTTGTTTAGAAATAATAATTCTTTTGAAAAGCGGAAACTTCCGAAAACGTCTAAACTTGCTGTGTTTGAGTAAATTTCAGCTTTAGATGCACAGAAAGCCCGCCCATATAAAAACTGGGTTAATAAGACAGCACAAGCAGAATAACACTTGAAAAATAGTCTCTTAATGAAGTTTACATTTAAATATTCGTTAGGAATTAGCGTAATGTCATGTATGACGGTTTGTAAAGCGCTTATATTCTGGGTATATATTCAAAAGCGGTTTCCTGAGAATCAGTTATACTTTTTTTCGGTCAGATATGGTTATGTAGCCGCGCCTGTGGTAGACAACCCCCAACTACCTATAATACGAGACCAGTGGTAAAAGGGGTTTTTACAGGTAGGGCCGGGGAACGCACAGGCGACAAGGTCAAGTAATTGTATGCAAAAGAAAAGCTATTAGGAATGCGCGGTTGTACTTTGAGTGGCTGAGAAATAGTTGCCATAACCCCTAGCCGCTAACCCTAACCTCTAACCCAAACACCTAACCCCTAACAACCAACCCCAACGCCAACAGTATTGTGTCCATCAGGTGCGGCTGCATAACCACATCTTACCCTTTTTTCACTTCTGCACTGACTGAGGCAGGATTTTGCCTTATTCCGCCGATAGGGACGTCACACAAATAAATATCTCCATAAGGACACATGCTATTAGGCCGGTCAGTGACTACTAAATTTAAATTGAGTCGGCAGGCGCAGCCGTTAGCAAACCATTCTATGCATATGAAGAGAACCTCTCTTCCGTTACATCAACCTGAACTATTTCCTTTGCTCTAGACTACGCTGAATTTTAGATCAGTCTTGAAAATGTGCTTAGGCAACTAGTCTGCAGGAGAAAAGACATTTAACAGAGGGAGTGGGTGATTGAGGAAAATGCGCATTGTTCAGGGTGTCTGAAAACTCTCATACCAGTTTCCGTTACCAAGTCTCCTGAGTACATAGGTCAGGTACTGTATGTATGTACATGTGACGTCAGCAGGGACCAATGTTGTAGTTTTTACGATCATATCAGTTTGAGAAAAAAATGAAGTGCCCATCGGATCAAGGGAATTGTGCAAAAATCGACCAGAATTTAGAATAAACGGCCGAACTAGTTGGCCTCGGGCTGATCAGTTTTTTTTCTTCTTTCTCTGTCTTGGCTCTCTGACTGTCGGTTGTGAATGTTGGTGGCCTCCTGTGTTGAATGTCGTCACCTCACTTGGGATCAGTTGCATTTGTGTCCCCTATTGGGTGAATTAGTTGACGGGCCATGTTTGTGCGGTATTCTTAGACTCCGTGTGACTGTCCTGTCCTGATCATGTCGTATATAGTGACGTAGAACCTTAGAGGCCGCAGGAAGGTCTAGATACCCGTTGATGGAGTCGAAATCTGAGTACCAAGCCTCAAGTGTGAGACGTTCTGTCCTCGAGGTGTCCCGGCCTGAGACGGTTGTTCCTTGGAAGTCAAAACTGTGGCCAGTTTCTCCTATGTGAATCGCAAGCTGCGAGTTCGGGTCTTGTCTCCGAGTTGCCAGTTTGAGCTCATGTAGGCGCTTCTCCAAGTTCCGTCCGGTTCCCCCAAACGTAGTTACAATCTCCATCGTAACAACGTATCCGGTTGACAACTGCTGAGGTTTCAGTGGGTGGCAGTATGTCCTTGGGTTGCATCAAGCCATGACGAATTATTGCCTGGGGCCGATGGACAAGGCCTACCCCGGCGGTTTGTAAGAATCGTAAAAACACCTCGGAGACTCCCTTTATGTAAGGAATAGCCTTCCAGACTTCGGGTTGATCTTCTTGTGGCCGTCGTCTATGGTAGCAAGAAGCACCTAAAAGCCGCAAATTGACAGTCCACATCAAACATATCAATGCTGCTCCCCCTTCCGAAGCACAGATATCATCTGTGGCTCCACGAAACCGTGCTAAGCATGGCAACCGCGCTCCATTACCCGTCACTGACCGGCGGACTAAACTAGACGTACGGTGTGTAATTGTCTTTACACCCGACAATCCCCTGACTGATTAACAAACAAAAATTTTCTAAGAAACGAATGGCAGGTAATCCAACAGGCGCCTTAGGATAACTTGAACACAAATGTCGTCACCCATGGCGGAATGCTCAAACCGCCTGAGATGACTAAGCAGCCCAATATGAGGTGACTGGTTCGAGGGCTGGGAGTCAGGCTCGGCGACTCAGCTTTAATGTGCCGTCCATGGCGTCCATTGTGTGCAATTCCAACATCAGGCTCCGCTGCAACGCTCTTCAAACGGATCCAAACTCCTTGCAGCAAACCGGAAGAACGAACACATGAGGCCCGTTATCTCCGCGACAAGTTTGTGCAAAACGGCTATCCGAAGGCATTCCTAAGTCGCTGCCTACGCGGTCGCCCCCCAGAGGACCCAAACATTAACACCATCAACGGCTTGGCATTTTCTGCCATACATCAAGGGCGTTTCAGAAGCAACCGAGCGCATTGCTATGGAGGTAGGTGTTGGAATTGTACACCACCCCAAAGCCACCATGCGCAGTAAGGTCATGAAAATTAAAGACTGGTTAAAGTCCGAGGAGCAATCTGGAGTAGTGATAGCGACGCATTATCACAAGTTGCTGCCCAAACCTACGAAAAGGGTCATGAGTTTAACTTCGCAGTACCAAAATAGTCGACCAGGCGGGAAACAAAACTAGCCGAGAATTGATTGAAGCCTAGGTCTTGGATGAGAACTCGGTCAGTCGACTTATCGATCTGATGCCCGCGTACAGAGCCCCTCGCAGTCACCTCCAGTCTTGCACCGTCGGTCGATGATTGGCTTACACGCCCTATAACTGTACCATGTTCTGTTGCCGCTACCATCTTTGACGATGGACTCTTGCACGAGTTCGAAAGTTCAGAACAATAGACAAAATGTTCCGGTGCTCAACCATCCTTCTTCACTTATACTTACACCTGGAACTCGAATTTTCGCCTTCATTTTCTGTAATGCGTACCAGGGGTACTCTACCTTCCATAACCACCATTATAGAGAGTCTAGGCTTCGAAAAACAGAATAGAGAAGAAAAATGAGTGCTTGCTGCCAATCACCCTTTCCTCCTCTCCCCCTCCTCCTCTGCCTCCTCGTTCGGCCCTTTTTAAAAAGGATGAAAAATGGGAGGACGTGAAGATAAGTAGATTGACTACTTCTGTAAAATGAAAACTGGCGTTCTCCTATCTAAAAATCCCCAAAATGCCGATGTATATGACACTGATGGAGAGTTTTAAAGAGCTTGTACATCTTGTATAGCTTGTATGCCTTGATAAAAGTGGTCGCACCCAATCGTAGAAGTGGTCTGACAGAAGAGGGCGACATTTGTTTTAGTATGTGACTTCACCGGAAACAAGCAGCTAATTATACTAAATAGGGGAAATCCTTGTCTTACACTGGAGGACCCATCATGCGCCACTTAGTGACCGACTTTGCGAACCCACCCGTGGGAATATTTAGCAATGGAACTGCACACATCAAGGGCTGGCTAAATCCCTATGTTATCAGTCGATTCCCGCAAAAAACGGAATAAACGAGGTCAGAAGTAGAGACCAGCGTGTGTACAATGAACCTCCGGAGAGGGAATAGTTATCCTGAGTGACTACCCACGGGCTAGACAGGAATCACACGTACTCAGCTCCAACGTCGAGCTCCATATGAGCCAGAATCAAGACAGCGCGGGAGCCGCCTGAAGCGACGTAATCTTGGTCTGCTGATCTGAAAATGTGCGAGCGTCCGTCCCCCTACAACACTGTACACAGACAGGCGGGGATGGAGGGGGGGAGAGATGGGTCAGACCAACCCCCCGATTTGTGGCTGTTACTAAGGCAAGTACAAACGGTCACAGTTCTAACAATGAACTTCAAGGACCATACGAAATACCACCCGCTAAGATGCTCCTTCTGCATGCGTGAATTTTCATTTACATCTTCAACAGAGAGAAGGTGATTAAACCGAAACTCCCCTTTCTAACCGTCTGATGGCTCTTCACTATCTATTTTAAATTCGGAAAATTTTCCTTTAAAGTTTAAAAACAGATGGTTGATGCACTACGAATTAATGAATTGGGGTGCTTCGGGCGGTCGCTAACGCTCCTTGTGGAAACACAAGGGAAAAATCTACTATTTGCTGATATTCATGTTACTTTACCTGCAGTTAGTAGGTAATATTTTGTAGATTACAAAGGATACACATGACCGATTCCATGGCGGCTGCCTCCTTTCATGTACCGTTCGCCGTGTCAAAGAAAAGATACTGTCCAACTGACACCTTGAATTTCATACACCGAATGTGATGTAAGTTCTTTAGGTTTTAAGGCAGTGTGGTATAGATTAGTCAGTTGCTAGTAAGTTGGAATTCCCAACATTTTGAATGGTTGGTTTTTCGTAAATTTGAGCAAGGACATTCATCTTTGGTGCGTTTCCGAACCTTTAAGTTTCCCCCAACCTGCTTAGTGTGCGCAACACAGTTTTCAGTAGTTTTCCGTTAAATCATCGGGCGGCATTTGATACTTGCAGTAGCCTTGTCCTCCAAATTTCAAGCCTTAATTGTTGACTGTTTACAATCTCGGACCTGATAATGGAATTAAAGGTATTTTTACATGGACATAGTAGAAGACAGGGTATGATCCTTCGCGACACACTGCAACAATGTAAAAAGTACCGTTTTCTGTTTATAATTGTTCAGTTAAGTATTGTGCGTTTTCCAGCTGGAGTTCCTTAAGTTGAGCGTTTCATGAGAGTCTGCGCATAGGTTATGTTGGTCTCTTTTTAGTCATTTGATGGTTAAGAATATCAGCAGCGGATCGACCTAAAATGGGTGATAGTCTCATTTGTCAACAGGGCCTTCGGAAGTCGGTAATATAACGTGCATTTTAAGGCTATTTGCACTGCACTTCAAAGGACCGGAACAAAAACAACAAATTTTTAAAAGAACATCAACGCATTTTTCGCTAGCATGACGGGGTGGCTGTGATTTTAGTGTCCGAAGATACCATACTAACAGCACACGCACTTGCTAAAGGCCCAGACACACGTGCTTAGTCAATATTCTGCCGCCGGATGACATATCTGCAAGGGGTTCTGCCCTTCAGTGGGTCCTCCCAGCCGAATCCCTCGCAGCTGTTCCATGCAGAGGCAGAATATCGGGGAAACACGCGTGTCTGGGCTTCTAGCTAGCACCCGTGCTGCTGGTATGGCGTCTTCTAACGCCAGAATATACTACTAGCTGTCTGTCGACAGTTAATGAATAGTATGTGGTTATCCCGCTGTGGCCGACAGACTTCGGTCCAAGCATTCCTACATCAAATCCCGGTCTGCACCTTGCTATATACTGACCAACCCCAAGTTCGCAGTTAATTTCTGAGGAAATTAAAAAGTAGCAGTAATTGTGATCTTGTCGGCGATCGAAGGGAGAATAAGGTTTTTACACGAGGACGTCAGTTTCGTATTTATCCTGATGTCAGGAAGGAATCCGAGTTTAAGTTTAGGACATCCGCAGGCGGTCGAATAGTGGTGAGCATTCAGTGGTTACGAAGTACTGCATACAGCGACTTCAGGGGCTAGAAAGACCGGTTTTGATTTATTTAAACTCGCCAGCCAAGCCATGCCAGATCCCAGTTCGGCAAGATCCCAGGCTCGTGCCCGAGAGCCTTCCATACCGAACGGGCCCTGCTACTGTGTCATGGAATCATGTCCCGTCGGCAGTGGTTGGGCATATGAAGAACCACTTGGAAATGACTATTCGTCTGTTAGAAGTAATGACTAATTGCCCCTCTCCAGGAGGCGGCCTGATAGGACTGTAGACCGATGCTCCATGTCAGGAGTGGGCGCCAAAATCCCACCTTCCAATGTAGACCTTGGGTCCTGTATGCCTTTATGACAACGGGAAGTTATTCAGCACCAATCAATCAAATCTCCACTGCCCTTGTCTGTAATGCATCTCGAAAACCTCATCTGTCTTTCTAATTCATTTCAAGCGCATCAGAGGCTTGAATATCCTGCCAGTTATTTTGCCAGGGCTTTTTACCTGTTTCTGATGAAATTTTAAATGACCACTTGTAGTGGTGGGTTGAATCCTTTCAGTGGTATTAGGCCCCTACCCGTCTTAGAAGTAAAAGTCCAAGGGCAGTTTGCACTTTCTACTGACTAGCCCGCATTCAGTTCTAGCTTGAAGTCAAAACTAAACTGCACTTTCTGCCTCTAATTCCCTACTTATCTTTTTGACAAACTTGCATATGAGTCTGGTTGGCTAATCTGTTAATTTTCAAACCAAATCCTCAGCTTCGTCTCACACGCCAATCCATTCGGTGTGCATTAAATCCATTACTGTGCACTCATATCTGTTGACAAAAACCGAGATCTCCTCCACTTGCGGGAAAGATAGCTGTCAGTATTTTATCGTCCTCTTATTTAATAAATATGGCCTTAAAAGGTTGACTTTTCGATTTAGAAAGCCCTTTTTACCAAAACCAATGTCGTGATCGAGCGTATTGACGACAACGAAGACGTGGGCAGCGTCGAAGTGGGTTTGGAACGACATTTTAAAAGGAAAAATATTCACTAGAAAATACTATGAGATTTGAACGAATTTACTGACCTCCTCTGAAGTTCTCCATCGGCTCCATAGGTAGAAACGGCCATACAGGCCGCCGTATTACAGGTGGCTTCGCGCTGAACTCCGGGAGGTGGGGGAAGCTACGATTAGTGTTAGTGTTGGGAATAGGCCTAGGATGATTAGGACAAGGGCCAGGGTTATGAGTGTTAGTCCCAGAGTTAGAGCTAAAGTTAGACACGCGAATAGGCACCCCCTGGAATTTAGATCAAGGCCACCCGTAGTATGGGGACCCTTTTCCCGCGGCCAGCCGTTCCGACCTTTTGATGGTGCTTCAAATGTCATCTCCTTTTTTGAATCCGTTGCTGCAAAAGGATAGAAATGGAGCATAAGCCGAGCCAAAACATCGCTGTCGCCGCCGCCGCCATCATCATCATCATCATCATCAACCACAACAACAACAACAACAACAACAACAACAACAACAACAACAGCGGCGGCGGCGGCGGCGGCGGCGGCGGCGGCGGCGGCAGCAGCATCATCATCATCATCATCATCATCATCATCATCATCATCGATAGTCAATATCAGTGGAATAACGAGGGCAAACAACTCATCGACGATAACTGTCAGGACCTCCTTGCACTGATGCGATTCTCATGGAGAGGTGAAGCGCATGAGGGTCTGAAGAATAATTGCAGACACCTCGACTTTACCTTATACTGATTTCCGGCCGCGTACTACCACCTCATATGGAGGGGGTTGTACGTATGGGTTTGTTTATGTAGCCTGCACAAAGGAGAGCAGTTTTCTTCCAAGATCTCCATGAGGATTGGTCTGCTCATTAGCCTTGATGTTGGCACGTCCACGGGTTGCGATGTATAAAACGACTTTGGCCCACCCGAGAACTCAGTGGGTTTCCCGGTCTGATGAGTACTGGTTGCCTTCACGTTAGGACCTTCAGCCAGAGGCGCTAAATGAAATCATTCCAGTTGCCTAGTAGGGACCTGTCTACTCTGTAGTGGTCAAGGACGTGAGATCAACTTAAACCGCATACAATAATTTTTCTCGGTCAAGTCACAGAAGCCAGAAAGTTGTGGGAACGGGTTTATTCTGTACACAGGGCAGGTCGCCGTAAGTTGGCTGTATGCTTGTGGCAGAGATAAGCGTTCGTTCTGGAGAGCGTCATTTGCGGAGCCTTCAGTGTGTCGCTACCACCAAAAAAGTGTTGTGTCCTTCTTGCCTCTGTCCTGTCTGTTCAAAATCACGTCCGCAAGGGCAGCGTCCCGTGTGTGCACTTGTAACCAATCAGCGATAGAAAGTTGCGTTGATTGGCTCCGAGCCCGCGACAAGGTAGTGGCAAATTATCGACCAGGAGTGTGGCGTGGACGGGAGTGCAAATCGAGGGTTAGCGAGCGCAGCCGTGACGCATAAACAGTAGAACGAGGGGACAGAGAAAAGGCTGCTACAATTCGCAGAGAATCCACGAGACCTCATGAAACTGTGTAATTTGAGCAGTGCGATCCCTGATACGGCTCCGACGATGATAGACGCGCGCCACGACTCTGGTCCAGTTAACGAGCGACCAGTGTTTCAACTGGACTACCCAATCAGGATAGCATCTCCTGCTAATGGACAGTGGAATGTGCGGACGTTCCTCGATTCTGGCAACGCAAGCCTGATAATGCACAGGTGTTCTTGCCCTAAATTCCATGTGGATTTATGGTTAGTGTTAAAGCTAGAATTATGAGGGTTAAGACTATGAGGGTTGGAGTCCAGGTCAGGACAGGGGAATAGGGAACCCCACAGAAATTGGCTCAAGGCCATCTGCAGTATCGGGGTCCATAGTTCCGTGTCCAACCGCGCAATTCTTATCAGCACGACCTAGATTCTAAGTGCCTGTTTGAATGTCGAATCCCAGGCTGAACCTCTTGGCAAATCAAGATCCCGATGACCACGTCCCATTTCATGCTTTATAACAGCGCTCCATACAACCCCTCTGTTAGACACGTTGAGGTAGCAGTTTTCTCGGAATTGCGGTATGCGACATTGCTCGTGTAGGGACAGGTCGATAACCGGCTAGCAGACGTACCACAGCAATGGCACTCTGTCGGCATCCCTGTCGTTTCTGTTTAAGCGCTGTCATCAACAGCTGATCAGCTTGATGAATGAACCGTCTACTCGCAGATGCAAGGACTACTTGACGGAATCTCTCATCTTCAGCTGCTGATTTCTGCCGGTGGTGGGCAAATCCGGACTAGGACAAGCAACTTTTTTAAAAAACAACTCATCGAACGCTTAAAACTTGAATTTCGATGCAGCAATGATGAGAGGTTGTTGAGCTTCGTTATCAGTAGCATAGGTCTGTGGCCAATGTATGCTTCCTAAGTTGTTGTAAGTATTTGCTGGCCAAACCTGCCAACGATGGTTCAGCGGCGAATCAACTTTTTGTATCTGGGCTCATGAATGCATACCATTGTATAGCGCGAAAACGGTCAGTGTCTACGAGTCAGATCCCTTGTTTGTACCTACATAGCTGGACGTTTCCCTCTCAAGGGCGCCTAAAATGCCTCCTGTAAGACGTCTTGGTGTTGCAAAATCACTACAACTCAGTAGAGTTGGGGTTTTGGGCAAAATCAGCAAAAAGTATACGGAAGTACCCAGTCTGTAAATGAATTGGCAAATTTTTCAGCAGCACCGAAACGGCTGGCCAAGTCTGTCAACGATAGCTCAACGACCAACTAAGTAGACCACATTGTAGGTTGTTCAGTCTCTTGAAGACCAGTGCGTAGTAAGAAAACGGGCAGTGCTTACGAATCGGATCATGCGTTTGTACCTAAACAGCTGAACAGTGCAGCCTTTATCAGCACAAGGTAGATATTAACTGTCAAAAGAAGAAGAGGCGTTCCCCGGGAGGGGTTTATTGGAGGTCCGACGTTATGCCAAAATGTCTCCCCTGTAAGCCTCCAGTCAACACGGAATTGGCTAATCAAATGATGTTCCGCTATAGCCGGCGAATGAGAAGGATACTCATACAAGATTGTCACCTGCGACTAAAGAAATACGCACACAGTGCTGAAAACTTCAGGATGCTTGTTATACACCGCTGTGGTGAATCGACTGTCACCACATAGGAGAACACATTACTAGCATTGGGACGAAAGAAACGTAATAACAGAGATGCAGATTTGAAAAGTCAATTTGGCAAACACGTATTTTTGGTAACTCTTCATCAGGCCAAAACGGTTACACAGAAGTTGGAATTATGCGAAGTTACAGGGCTTATAAGCGATTCAGGGGCTATTGACACTCATCGTTCCCACGCCACTCGCATGGCGAGGCGTGCTATGGCGTGGTCGACGAGTCGTCGTCATTGGGTCAAGAAGCGAGGGAGAGGGGGACATGGGCTGTAAGTAGTGTTTGTACGTCGGGTACGTTGTGCACACAACACTGCCATCAGGAGGTTGGGCGATGTTGGGGTCGGCGTTGGCCACGGAAGACAGAGCGCCTGTGTCAGAGTCTTCTGACAGCATAGCGCTGGATTGGCTAGCCGTATAGTCACTACCTCCGCTGTAACTAGCACCCGTTGGCGTAGGCCTCTGGAGAAGCTCGCTGGTGTCCGGTAGACAACCTGAAAGGCTTCACTGGCATCGACTCGGTGACTCGTATTGACAAGATGTGTGAGAATAGAACTCGAAATGGATTTATTTTCACCTCTGCCTAGCCAGACCGGTATGTGTTCACGTACTCTCTTTTCCAGGCGCCTCTTTGTATAGCCAATGTATCCCCCTCCACATGAGCAAGTAAAAAGTAAATGCACATCGATGTGGCCTGCAAAGGGAGTCGGCCTTTACATCCCAAGCTTAGGAGGGGGGAGTTCCTGAAACATGCAAGTAAATTCGCCTTAGGGAAAGTACTGTAACTTCGCATAATTTAGACTCCATGTAATTGTTTTTGCCTGACGACGAGTTGTTGAAAACATGTGTTTGCCAAATTGACTTCTAAATATAAACTGTCTATCTAAATACCGAATCCCAGGCTCACTCTCTGGCGAACTCAAGATTCCGATGGCCAACCCCACTTATTGCTTTATAACAGAGGTTCACACATCTCCCCTGTCAGACATGGTGAGGCGACCATATTGTTGCAAGTGGAGCATGCGGCCTGGCCCATGTAGGAGCCGGTCTATAACCGGCTAGCAGACGTATCACAGAAATGGCACTTTATGGCCACTTCTGTAGTTCCTGTTTATACACCATTATTGACTGCTGATCAGCTCGACAAAGAAACCATCTACTCACATACACTGATTTCTGTCGGCGGTTGGAGGATTCGAGTTAGGCTAAGCGGCTCTTTAGACTTGACTTTCGAAGAAAAAATAGCGAAAGATTTTTGAGCTTCGTTATCAGCAGCGTATGTCTGTTGTCAACACGTACTTCCAACGTTGCTGTAAATATTTGTTGACATAGTCTTCCAACAATGATTCCGCGACCCCTTTGGGTTTTGGCAACTAGGTTCATGATAGCGGACCAGTGCATGTGGTTGTACGCAGACAGCTAGGCATTCCCCCCCTCCCATCAGCGCCTAAAATGCCTCCTGCAAGGCTCCTTATAGTGGTAAAATCACGACAACCCAACAGAGCCGAGGCTTTGGACCCAGAAATCTGATCGACAAAGAAAACAGCAGCAATCGGTCTGAATTGCCCAATTTCTCAGCAGGACTACAATGACTGGATCAACCTAAACATTTTACAGTTGTCTGCCCAGACGGCCTGAGCTAACATCTTTGTCATTCCTTCCACCAACTCAGTAAAAACTGCAAAGTTGGTTATGTATGACTGCATAAACTGTTGGACGAAAGTGACAACTGGCATACAACAGGCTTCAAACGTCGACACCAATCAAAAATTGAAAAAGCTCACAAGCAAAAATAATTCCATGTTCTCTTTGCCGAATGACTCTGTTCGCGATATCAATGATGCATTTAGTTCTGCTAATTTGGGAAAAGTCGAGCGTTGGTATAAGCAGTTAGAACCTTACAGTAGGTGAGCTAACTCATGAAATGTCAGCCGACATTTCGAAATTCGTTCCCGTTTTGAAAAGGTTAGCTAAGTAGGGTTGTAAAACAAATCATCATCCAGCATACTTCTATAATAATTCAGTTACCTTAGGGTGTAGGCTTTCGAATGATCTTCTTTCCGGCTGCATGCAAGAACTACTTTCTGTAAAAAATGATTACTTCATTGGCATGCAATTTTTTCAGTGATTTTCGATGCCCTTAAAAGTTCAATTATATTTCGCAGAAAACATCACAAAATATATATTGCTTTGCTCATTCGGTAGAAAATGGCGTCTTTTTCCAATTTTATACTCAAAGAAAGGGTATAAATCGGTTTTAAAAAGTTTCTAATTGTGAGATTTTTTAATATCGTGAAATGGCCATTCATAAATCGTCATGTCTCTGCATTTACTAATGTGGCTTTTAAAGTTAACTATATGGCTCAAATCCACAGCTAAATTTTATGAACCCCACATGCGCTCCTCTCAATACCGCAGAGAAATGTACGGTTTTTCATACGCAGAAAATATACGTCTTATAGATCTGAAACCCTGAATGAAAGTGTAACGGCAGGTCTGGTTCAAAATTATTCGGGAATTGCAAAAGATTTTGAAGATCGAATCATTCCCTTCATTCGAGTATAAAATTGGAAGAAAACGTAATATTCTGCCGACTGAGCAAAAGAATGAATATTGTATGCATGTTTTCCATGAAATATAATTGAGTGTTTACGGGCATCGGAAATCAATGAGAAAATTGCATGCCAATTAAGTAGTCATTTTTACAAAGTATAGTTTTTGTACGCAGTCGTAAAGAAAGCCGGCACACTGTGGTAACTGGAATATTAAAGAATTATGCTGCATGATGATTAGTTTTACGACCCTACTTAATTAATCTTTTCGAAACGGGAACGAAGTTCGGAATTTCGGTTGACATTTCGTAAGTTAGCCCACCTACTGTGTATCAGTTAAGATGACAAACCTATCACCGTATCTCTTATTTTGCGTCTGAGTTTTATTTTGCTCCAGCCTTTGCAGTTTCGTGTAACGGCCTCTCAGGAAGAATTCTTCGATACGGTGTTGGGGTCACACAACAATATGGCGCTTAGAAGAGACGGCGTCCCCGTTGAAGTCTATAGGACTTGTGCTGGAAGTCTGGCGCCCCGGCTCCGTGAAGTGATTGAACAGGTGTGGAGAGATGAGGTCGTTCTGAGGACTAGGGTCCGGCATCCTTATACCTGTTCTCAAGAAGGGGAGTTAGACAAAGTGCGTGAAATACAGCGACATAAACCTCGTCAGTTTTACCGCAATGGACCTTGTCACCACCGGGTCAAAGTCTGATTGTAGGCGTTCAGGCACAAAATGGACAACTTTAAAATCACCCTGAACCCCTCCGAGTATCTAGACAGCGGCGCAACTGAACGAGATGGGCAACAGAGCACAGTATTTTTGAACGACTGTGATTGTTGCAGATCATAACTGGCTCTGTGGTGGAGTGATTTCAGGTCTTAGTCGTAATTATGATTTCCGCTGGCCTGCCATCCAGATCCATTATCCGACTCCCGATGGACGGGATCAAATGCTGCGACGAAGCCGACAAACCGAGCAGTCACTGGGTTGTCAGTAGCCATGGCAACATGTGCGTTCGGTGTCATGACTTCGCCACTTTGCTGGGCCAGAATCACGTACACTCTCAAAGAAACAGAAAGCGGCGGCGGGCAACGACAAAATAGGCGACCCCATACAGAATGTGGAGGATAGGTCATCGTGTCTTACGGACCCGGTGGAAGTAGGGTTGATTGGGTTGGGACTAATGGATGGAGAAAACAGCGGCGAAAGGGGATGAAGTTTTGGAAAAATGTCCTAATTCCGCGACTAGGTTCAAATAGATCCGTGCATGACCTAGAAGACGACCCGGAAAATTGAATACTGGCGAAATTTAGCATCAAAAAACAGAGGAAGCTAAATATAGTGCCTGTGCAATAAAACGCCTAGTTCAGAGATCAAGGCAACAAGATTGCTAATAGAAACCCAAGGGCGAATTAAGTCAGCAAACCGCATAAGAGTAAAGTGGAAACGTTGACCCAACGTCACCACATAATGATGCAGAACAGCGGAACACGGGAAGTCGCCAAGGTGAACAGCAAAGGTAAAGTATACTAAATTAGGGTGTATCCCAACCGACAAATAAGCTGAATGTGATATTTAAGCGAAACTTTATGTTATCTTAAAAAAGTCAATCAGTGCACCCAAAGTAAACAGCACTACTTTGTAGGAATCAGTAGGAAGTAATAAGTAATATGCAAATGTGGGACAACTCTGGGTTCTGTGCACAATAAACCCCTCATTCTGGTGCCCTCCGCCTTCTCCTTCCAATGCGGGATTTGAGTTGATAATTGTAGCTCGCATGCTGCACACACTCCCCGCACAACCGCTACAAGTATAACAAAATCTTGGCAAGCCTCACTGGGGCTGTATAACACGAGACATCTACAACTCGTGCAGGAAGATCCTGGGTAGAAGTAAGAGAGGAAAATGTGCTTGCTCCCGTCATCGACTTTCACCATGGCAGTTTCAGGGGGATCATATAATTTGGCTACTTACAGAATTTTAGTTTTCCACTCCGCATCACCATGGTCTCTGAACAGCGCTGAAGACAGCCAATCGTTACTCAGAATGAGTCTTAAACGTCGTTACTGGACCTGTCATGTGGCCGGTACCCAGAAGGGACTCCCTTGCAGTAATACCTCTTGTTTACAAAATGCTCGTCGTTGGATGACTGCCTGAGGAGACTTCAGTCCGGAGCTGTATTCCTCCTAAATTAGGACTTCGTTGGTGCACCTTAATTCCACGTAACCAGGAAAGTTTATCCACCTGTGAAATGTCCCTCTGCGTTCCAAACTGACAAAACATCCGGGTCACAGAATGCTCGATGCATTTGAGAAGTGAGAACACTTCCATATGGCGCAGTGAGCATTACGGTGTCAATTCGTCAATCACACAGGAACAACGTAAACAACCAAATGTCTACAAACGCACGCGTGCTTGACAATGCGGGTGTACTGGAGATGCCTACAGATCATCGGCGAAAATTACTGTGAGCGTCTTGAACGCTCAGCGTCTACATTGGCCGGCGATCGATTAACTGCATGCATGTCTCCGCGCCCCCGTCCCCCCTCCCAATGTGGTACGGCTCTTCCTAACCCTCATTCTCACTTACTTCCTTATCTGCCCGCCCCCTTCACACAACCCGCTTGTATGAGAAGTCGAGGCGTAATCGATTTCTCTTATCGCTCACACGTTTTACTTTTTATCTCGTTCCCATATAAATGTACTGGCCCGATAAGAATTTATCGAAAGCACGCGTATGCTCGCCAAATGCTCTTCTCAAATAATGTAATAAATTCCCCTAACACTACCAGACTCTTTCTTGGAAAATGACATATCGCTGAGTTTATGCCCTTATTCCAAGTTCACACTTTTGCCCGTACTGATCGGGCGGCACAGTCTTAGGTGGCAGTCTAAGTTTGAAAGCCGGAATTTGCTATATGCAACAAACTGGAGCGTGATATAAATCTGTCCTTTTGGTCATAATTCACTTTAGTTCACTGAACTTAGCTCCTTTTCCTCCGCGATTCGTCTCTTATGAGGTCTGTCGAGGTCCAGTCCCTTTATTGATCACCTTGTTGAAGTTATTTTCCTCAGCTTAATTTTGCGTATTTACAGAAGATGTCTGATTGGTTGTGACAACGAATATGGCGTTAAAAATTCTGCCTGAAAGTTAACACTTGTTGCCGTCAAGTAATCAAGGGAATCCTAGTTTTACAGAACTAGTTCTAAGCCTTCTAACTCTTTGTTTTAGGTAGAAGTTTAGATGCTCGCAGATAAGTTCATAAAATTTTTTCACCACTTTGACTGCAACACATGGCCCAGTTTGTTTTTTGCTTTGCTCTTGTTCAGGATGAAGGGCTGATTCAGGCTCTAATTAGTATGTCGCATAATGCCCCGTGCGCACTGTCCATGGAACACGTGACTACTATGAGTTCCACGCTCTATGCACGCGTTTCCGGTGTTCAAAGCGGACTGATCGATAGTGCACCGTCACAGACATTTCCATTAATGCAGTCTCCCCCTCCCCCCTGCCCCAGACTGGCGTCATGTCTGTTGACCTGCTACAGAGTCAGAATCAAATCGGTGTTTTCATCTTCCTTTTACCTCAAAGCACCGGCGGAGAGGCCTTTTTCTGCAGTCCCATGTACCAGTCCCTGCGTCAGAGCGTGTCAACCCGCTGCGCCTGCGAATTATCCGTTTTCGACGGGAATAACTTCAGCCAGTTAAATCTCTGTCTCCCGGCCCCCCGGCCCCCCACCCATCAAACACGCAACAGCAAAGGCAACAACTGCAGTAACCGCTCCGTCCTCGACAGTTCCTCCGAGTCCACCAGTTCCGACCTATTACTGCGCGTCTCAAACAGTTACGAACAACTCCTATTGGCCCGAGGCAATTGGCTTGTACAGGTTGTCTATAAGACCGTTCCCAGCCTGCATCACCTGTTTCTCAGACTAGTGGGACAGTATTGTACAGAACTGGGCAGTTCAGGATACAGACGTCCCATTGGGGGAGGTCCGACTATGCGGAGTCAGGGTTTTAAGTACACAGTGCTCGCGGCCATCACTCATAGTCGGATCGAGGAACTCCGTCACCAGCAGAGTGAGTACTCCTTCATGGACGACCTGACTTATGACAGTTTTGCGAAGAGCCAGCGAGAAACAGGAGGTCAGGAGGGTGGCGTCCTCATGCCTTCTGGAGGTCAGGGCAAACACCCGACTAGGGGTCAAAAAATACAGTCTCCCCCCTCCTCCTCGTCCGCCGCCACTCTCCCCTCCTCCACTTACCCGGCTTCATCTTGCTCTTCGAACTCCTCCTCCTCCTCTCCCCACACCACGCCCTCCTCCAGCTCCCCCCGCCTAGGAACCGAAACGCAGAAAAGAGACAACGGAATGAACAGTCCCAATGGTCTTTTTAGCGAATACTTTCGGTCATTGGCTCATAAGCAGGACGAATACCTGAATGCTCTGCGGCAACGATACAATGAATTTTTCTCTCCGCGGGAGACCAGGAGGGGAGATGATAAATTGCTGGGGGAGCCGGAATCGGAGAATAATCGCCTTGAACTCGACTCGGTGGTGGAGTTCAGTGAGTCTACGAATCTGGACAGTCTGACACTGCCCACATTCACCAGAAAGCCCCCGACTGCTCGATCGCGTCATCGGGATGTTTTCTCACCGGCAGAGGACTGGCGGAGGTCCGGTGATGGACTTGAGACAGTTGCCTGATGCTTCAACTTGTTCAGCCTTTCTTTGCCTTGGTTAGATGCAGGTCTGAATTGTCTGTTTTGCTCTAGAAAGCCACACTCGGGAGGATTGTTAACTTGTCCAAATTTCTTTGGAATTACTTTGCGCGAAAATTAATTTTGCGATGTAATGTTATTGAAAAAAATTCTGGAAAAGGGATATCTCTTTTGTCGGGAAGCAATTCGAAGGTAATGTAGCCTCTCGGGCTTTCCGAACTAAATTCGACAAATATACGGTTTGTCAGTGTACGTTAATCCAAATTGGTGCGCATTTGCTCTGCTACCGTCAACCCGTGCTAAACGTATCGGCTATGTAGGTCGGAAAACGTCAGCTATTCATAGGCTTGTTTCGAGTTGCAGCCGTTTAGGTGGAATTCTGCGTCAACTATTTCCTCCCTGATCAGCAGTGGGTTGATGGATTTCTACTTGTAGTAAATAAAACGAACTGAATTGATCAAAGTGACTTGCGACTCACTTTTTGCATCGAAATGGGCACGCAAAGATTCGCACTGTGTGATTCACTGAAAAGTTTTGGTGTCAGTGGCTCTGTTATGAGAACCCACGAAGCGTACTTTTAAATTACCCACCTTGATAAATCATTTTAGGGAAAACTAAATCCCCGTTGATCTTTTCAGAATATAATTCACGGTTTTGCAATAAAGGGTCGTTTCGTTTAGTGTTCTACGATCCGGTAATCTTTGCGAGGAAGTATTGTAAACCTGCGATGGAGTAGCCAAGTGCGAAGACCTGTCACTTCGGAAATGCTTACCTACACTACCGGAGTTCACACGCAGGCAGTCAAATACTTCATGAGGAGCAACCTTCAGGAAGTCCTCAGGGTCAAGTTTTCTAAGGCATCGTGGGGGATTATTGGCCCCTTCTATGCATCACAACGTCGTCCATCTTCGAGACCGGCGTAACCTAATACACACATGCAGCAGTCGTGTTTTCTCATGAAATGTTAACCGAAATTCTGAAATGTGCTTTCGATCTGAAAGGATTACATAAGTAGGGTTACAATATTAAGTGTCGTACAGCATATCCTCAAAATATTCCAGTCATGCCAGAATGTCAATTTCTGAATGAGTTTCTTTTCGGCCGTCAACGAGATTACACTCTATAAAAAATGACTGCTTAATTAGTACAAACCTCCCCCATTGCTTTGTGATGCCTTTATAAATCAATTATATGTTATAGGGAACGCGCACAAAATATTTTCTCTTGCACTCATTCGGTAGAAGATTACGTCTCCTGAAGGTGTTTTTGCTCCACCTGTCGTTACAGGCTACGCGAAAGAAGATTCGGCGCATAAACTTGTAAGGTGACTATCTACAATACACTGTGGTTACATCTTCCACAAACAATGGAAGGTCTGTTTACGTGATGTGGGATTTGAAGCCATTAAAGCAAAAGAAGGATAAAAATTCGCAAGTCTGCTCCGTTTTACAGCCTGATTTTGTTCAAACAGGGCAAGTCAACTTGGTAGGACAGAAATAATGTCTGATCTACCGACGGTTTTTTAAAACTAGTCAGCCTGCAACATAAGTAAGTTACGTCAGGATGCCGGCCTTCGAATGAACTTCCTTCTGGCTGCATGCAAAAATTACACTCTGTCAAAAAGACCACTTAAGTAGCACGCATTTTTCTCACTGATTTTTGATGCCCCTAAATGTCCAATTATATTTCATGGAAAACATACATAAAAATATTCGTTTGTTTGTTCATTCGGTAGAAAGGTACGTCTTCTTTTAATTTTATACTCGAAGGAGGGACAAATTCGAATTTTAAAATGTGGGACTTTTAAATACCGGGAAATGGCCGTTCATAAATCGTCATGTCTCTGCATTTACCAATGTGGCTTGTAAACCTAACAATAGGAATCAAATCCACTGCTAAATTTTATGAACCCCAAATGATCCCCCTCGTTAATGTAGAGAAATGTTGGGTTCACCATACGCAGAAAATACATAGCTTGTAGTTCGGAAACACTGAATGCAAGTGTAACGGTAGAGCGAGTTTAAAAGTAATTGGGAATAGGAAAAGTTTTTAAAAACCGAATTATACCTTTCCTTCGAGTACAAAATCAGAAGAAGACGTAATTGTCTACCGCATGAGCAAGCGAGTGAATATTTTTATGCATGTTTTCCATAAAATATAATTGGGCATTTAGGGACATCGAAAATCAGTGAGAAAAATACGTGCTACTAAAGTAGTCTTTTTTACAGAGTGTAGTTTTTGCATGCAGCCAGAAGGAAGTCCATTCGCAGGCCAGCATCCTGAGGTAACTGAAGTATTACAGAATTATGCCGCAAGATGATCAGCTTTACAACCCTACTTAATTAATCTTTTCAAAACGAAGACGCATTTCGAAATTTCGGTTTTACATTTAATGAGTTAGCCTACTTACTGTAAATACCTAATACGTTCCACGGAGGAATATCGCAAACTTCGATAACCTATTAAGATCTCATATAGCAATCGAATAATTGTCCAGTGGATGGGAAAAATGCTGTATACTTAACAAATAGCATTAATGAATTTGCTAATGCGAAGCCGTATGAATATGTATTTCTGGGTTTGAAGAAGTTTCATAATGAGGCATTTTTTTCAAAACTGAACGATTATATGGGGAGGATGCAGTTTTGTAATGCATTCTATAAATAAGGGCTTAGAAAATGGAGGAGAAATTAATATGAGGTTGCACCGGCAAAGACAAGGGAGGCAAGAATGGCCATTTCTGGATTATTAGCCGTCATCAGCCAATCATACTCGACACCAAATGTGGATCACTTGAGATTCGAACCCGGAATCTCTGGTCATAGAGTTTGACACTTTATCACTGAGCTTGCTGTTTTGTCGGTTGTGATTGGAAATATTCATTACGATGGATGGGCGTTCACCGATCAGGTTACGGAGCGAGCTTGTTTCGTTGTGCAGGCAGTCGCGCAACGACTAGTAGTAAGAGTAAATTAGATGATACTGGCAAAGACAAGTGAGACCTGAATGGCCATTTCTGGCTTAATAGCCGTCATCAGCCCGTCATACCCGACCTGATCGGTGAGCGCCTGTCTGTCATAATTGATACTCCCGATCAAAACCGACAGGACAACGGGCCCGTGGCTCAATGGTAGAGTGTCAAACTCCATGACCAAAGGTCCCGGGTTCGAATCTGAGGTGATCCACACTTGGCGTTGGGTATGACTGGTTAACGACGGGTAATAAGCCAGAAATATCCATTCCGGTCTCTCTTGTCTTTGTCGGTACCATCTCATATGCATATATGTGTATGTTAAACCTGTTATACCGTAATCCCGACACAGATACTGCGTACAGATTGGAGGTCCAAATGTCTTATCGCGTTTATCATCCCCGAAAAAGATGAAGAGAAAGAAAGGGCGAGTTCACGGACCAAGTCGTATTTGTACTGCTGTTTCGGAATCTTTCTCGTTTCCATCTTGAAAACAGTGCGCCCGATGCTCCTGCTGGACTTCAGTTGTCCAGATTTGCTGCTTGTCTTATATTATGACCGTGCTTGATGTTGATTAGCTTTGACCTCTCCGAGGCTGATCGCTGGCTGGGCTCTCATGCACTTTGTCACCTTTGGGGCAAGGGTGATCAGTCGAGCCAATGAGAAGATGGCCAGACTGGTGCCCGAAAGTTAGTCCTCGACTGGCACAATCAACCGAACTATGGACCTGCATCCCGCCTACCAGGCGTTACGTACAAGGCTCGGGTCAGTTCGGATAGGACCACTAAGACAGGCGAGCACGCGGAACTAAGGGTAGACGCTCACCGAAAAGAAGGGAAGTGACGATCAGGAGTCAGGCGCCCAACTGTCTCCCCGATGTGCCTGCAAGGCTGAAAGCGACTCACATGAACACCAACGACTGATCGGTCTGCCGACTGACGTGGGGGAAGGCAACAGGCACGCTGACTTGGCTACGAAATCACCAAGGGGGAAAAAGGACCTGCGAGCCTAGCCAGCGGCCAGCCTGGGGGAAGTCAAAGCCAGTCAGCAGCAAATAGGCGGCTCAGAGTTCGTGCATCCGGCTCGGCTATAATACAAGGCAAGCAGCAAGGCTGGACAATTAAAGATCAGCAGGAGCTGAAGACACATTACTCTGCTGCTGGAAACGATAAAGTTTCCGAAACGGCAGCACATATACGATTTGGTCTATGAACTAGCTCACTCTTCTTCTTCTTCTTCTTCTTCTTCTTCTTCTTCTTCTTCTTCTTCTTCTTCTTCGTCTTCGTCTTCCTCAGGGGACGGTAAACGCGATAGGACATCTGGATCTCGAATCATCATGCATATTGATTTATATTTTGGACGCGCAGTCCTCCGTTCCACAGGCAGATGGGAGACCGCGAAGCTAGCGTCATCCATCTCAGTTATCTCAGCAGTTATCTACAAAATAACTTGCAATGAGGGCGACTGCAACTATGAGGGAGAAGCCGGGCGGAAATTGTAGACTTGTCTATAAGAGCACAAATCGGCTACTCAGAGGTTAGACCAAAACTCTCAATTAGCAACACACGTTGGAGAAACTGGGCATACTCTCGATCTCCAGCGAGCTACCATCCTAGGCCGGGACAACACAAAAGCAGAACGGCTAACTCTCGAGGCGTGGTTCTCTGATGCCCACTCCATCAACAGGCATCTGGACCTTCCTGAAGCTTACAAAGTCCTACGTCATCACAATCGTGAGCTCAAACCAAACAACCACACCGGACTTAAGAAGGCCATAAGGAGACAGCCCGACGACGAGTTTACTCTGTGAAGAAGAACAAGAACCGCCAGACAGACCACCCGACAAAGGTTCAATCACCTACCCCTGACGGAGTGGTGAATAACAAAGCACGCCGACAAAACTCCCGTCAACCATTTCCCAAGAGGCCGAGGCAGCGGGAGGAGAGAAAAAATCGATCAGCACGAGGCCGACCAACGTGACACGTCACTCGGGATTTCTGGCGGATTAAGTGCAT